ACATAAAAACAGATGATACCTGTTGCTTATCTACTGTCTTAGTCAGTATTCTATTGCTGTGAAGAGACACCATGGCCAAGGCAATTCTTATAAAAGAAAGCATTAAATGGAGGGCTTGCTTAGAGTTTTGGAGGGTTAGACCATGATCATCACGGCAGGAAGCAGTCAAGCATGGTGCTGGAACAATGGCTGAGAGCTTAACATCTTGATCTGCAGAGAGAGAGAGAGAAAGAGACAGACAGACAGACAGACACAGACAGACATCGACAGAGACACAGAGAGAGAGACTCTCAGCCTGGTGTGGAATTTTGAAACCTCAAATCCCACCCCCAGTGAAACTCCTCCTCCATCAAGGCCACACCTCCTATTTCTTCCCAAACAGTTCTACTGACTGGGGACCATTCAAACATATGAGCCTATGGGGGCCATTGCCATTCAAACCACCACACCTACCAACCTCAGCAGATTATGCAAGGGATCAAATGATACATTGATGGTGAAAGTACGTTTAATGGTGAAACTGTGCCTATGTTAATAATATGCAGCTGATGCACTGGGAATAATAGAACCTAGATAGTGAACTGTAGACAATATGCCCCCATTCTATCCCTCTCATATATTGACAGAGCCTAAAACTGAATCTTTAATTCAGAACCATTTTTCATATGATGATGCACAGCTTTAACTCATACAGCAAACATCTCAGATTTTAAATGTATATAAAATCTTGACATAGGCTTGTTATTTGATAATCAAATTCCTAACTATGCCTCCCCTTGTGTACCCCTCTTGCTATAAACTACTTATATATATATATACACATGGTCCTCTTAAAACCCCTTTTCTCCTCCAAATTATGGATTCTTGGGATTAATAGATAACTTGACTAAAAGACTGAGCCCAATTAGCAGGACAATAGTGGTGATTTAGGGCTGTATTCACCTAGATAGGGTGATACTTTGAATTACTTACAGTTAGTGACGTTTCCCAAAATGATCTGTAAGTCGGCATTTTCTGCCTCTTTCATGTTATTGTTCTCACTGTTATGATATTGTAAGCTATGCGGGATGTTCTGGCAGGGAGAGCCAAGGTGTCCCCACAGCGGGTGAAAGACAGGGATGCCATGCAGACAGCGCTCAGTGAAGAGTTTTGTTTGGTGGTGGGGGGAGGAGAGAGAGAGAGAAAGGGAGGGAGGGAGGGAGAAGGACGAGGGGTTCGAGAGGTACGCACCTCATGGGAGGAGAAAGAGAGAGAGAGAGAGAGAGAGGTGGAAATGGGCAGCGTTTCCCCTTAAGAATAGGCTTTTACATCAGGGCATAGAGTGGCACCAAGGGGCGGGGTCAGAATATTAACACCATAAAATAAATAAGCCCTAAGATGCAACTCAAAACAATCATCTAAACATGAACTTGGGCCCCTTGAACAGCTGCATTTCCAGCCCCATCCCACCCCTCAGCAGATCCTCAAAAGCATCCACACTCCTCTGATCTCTTTTTGCTATTTGCCTATAAATGCAAGGGGGCAGGGGGTGGGGGTTTCGGTGTGTAAAAATAAGCTATTGTGACTTAGAAAGGAGATGGGATGCTAATTAAAGGTTGTTGGATGAGCAAGTCAGACTGTATCGTCTGCCTGGAGCTGCCTGCCAGCTGCTGCTCTGGTAAAGAATCAAGGAAAACACAAGAAGGCCAGGCAAGCTCAGGAGAGCCGAGGGCTTCCATCTTTCAAGTGGACATCACTCAAAAAATCAGGGTTCAGGCACCAAGCTCCTGCCTGGCTGATTTCCTCATTGGTTTTGAAAGTCACCTTCCTTTAAAGAGAGCCCTGCTGCTCAGGTCTGCTCTGGACAATGGGGCACATGTGTCAGACTGCTGAGTACAACGTAACCTCTTTCTTTGGTCCACTCTTACCAAGATCTATCAATCTTCCCCCGGGCTCATCTGGGAGATGTGAGTACTAGGATACACAATAAGCTACATAACTGAGGCTCCACCGAAAGGAACTAGTCAAATGGGTTAGTAGAAGTGGATGGGACCGAGGGCTGTACAAGAGATGTTGCAGGTCAAACATGAGGACTTGAGTTTTGAGTACCAAGTGAGCCCATAAAAAGCCTGGTACTGCTGTGCGCTCCTGTAACCCCAGGGCCGTAAACAAGAGGATTGGTAGGGCTCACTGGAGGCCAGCCTACCTGCAGACTCAGCGACTCAAGAACATAAGGCAGAGAATAATACTACCGGACACCCGATGTCCTTTTCTGGTCTCTGCATGTGGATGAATAGGCTTGTACAGGCAAACACACACACACACACACACACACACACACACACACACACACACACACACACACACAGAGTCAGATAAACACATAGATAAAGACAGATACAATTCACTCTACCTTTAAAGAAAGAGGGGGTATTTTAATTTTTTTTTTAAATTTTATTCATTATTTACCGAGATGGGGAGAACAGGGGTGGGGGCATGCCAAGGTCAGATGATAACTTTGTAGACTTGGTTTGCTGCTGCCACCTATGGGATCAAGGGACCAAACTCACTCACCAGTTGACCAAGCTGAGCCCTCTTGCCTGGCACCAGCCTTTAATATTAAATCATTCAGGCTGGGCGGCATATAAATAAAGCTGGAATAATTTCAACTTTATTGAAAAGAACAAATATGTGAAGACATAGGAGTTTCTTGTAATGGATGGAAGAAACTGCTCCTCCAGATGGTATGATTTCTTTCCTGTCACTTGAATGTTGGAGTGATGGCATGATGAAGCTTTAGAGGTGTGTTTCTGACATAGAGTATGTCTTCCCTTAACTCTCTGACTCTATGGATGTTTTGCTGGTAATTTGAATTCATATGTATTTAACTTTTTTCAAGTGTTCATATGACTTTACCATACATGCAAAGAATCGAGTATCCTGGGTATATATAAGACCCTAATTGATGACAATATGTGAAAAAAAAAGTCTATATAAATGTGTATATGTTTTGGGAGCCTTAAAATATAGTAAAAGGTGGTGTTGGGGGATGTGCTAGAGAGATGGTTCAATGATTAAACGTACTTGCTGCTCTCCCAGAGGACCAGAGCTCAGTTCCCAGCACCCACACTAGATAGCATGCAACTGCCTATAACTCCAGCTCTAGAGAATCAGACGCCTTCATCAGACGTCTGTAAGTACATGCATATGTGTGCACACACAATCAAAAACGCACATACATGAAAAATCTGCTTTGCAAAACTTGGCAACAGGAGCTGACAAGAAGAATGAGTTGATAAAGTGCTTGCACCTGATGGCCCAAGTTAAGTCCCTGAGACCCACACAGCGGCAGGAGAGAACGGATTCTCGAAAGTTGTCCTCTGACATCCACTCATGACCTGTGGCATGAGCATGCCCACATATACATACACGTATGCACATAGCATAAATAAGTAGAATGTAATAAGGAATCAAAACATAGTTAACAATGATATGTCTTAAATCCTTACTGTATGCCTGGCTTTGTCCCAAGCACTTGGCATGTGAGACGTTATGAGGAAACTGAGTCCAGAGAAGTCAAGTGTGCTGCTCAGGAACTAAAATCTGAACCCAAGTCCTCTGAGTCCCAAGTCTTCATTTAACCATCATGTAATATCTCCTTGTGGCAATATCATTATTATTATTCCCATTGAGTCCTTCACAGAGGATCCATTATAAAAACATGGCAAGCATAATTTTGTTCCACGTTTATGTCAGTAGGTCTCATAAGGGAAAAAAAAAACATCATTGGACGTGGAAAACATGATGCTTTATATATACTAATCGTCACTACACCTGCTTTGCATGCCGGGGGATCTTTATTCTGTGAGCATGTAACACATTACAGCTGTTCCTGTTAGGCACAGTGGTTTGATGAAGCAGGAGATAGTGCCTGGCCTTGGTCACTGTGGGAGAGAGAACATTCCTTATACTCGTTGGTTATTAAGGAATTCTTTTTTTTTTTGAAGTTTATATGAATTTTTACTTTATAAAAGTACATACAAGTTTTAGATAAATAAGCATTATCAATCAGTACTGAAATCCAAATCATAAAAGAGCAGGTAATGAGTATCTAGGTTCATACCTTTGAGTCCTAGCAAAAATTACAGATTTGGGTTAAAAAGTATGTACATTTTTTTTTAATGCCAAATGCCATTTATTGAAGGAGGGAGGAGGTCTTAAATACAGGCTTACAGCACAATGGGAGAATCCCGGAGGGCAGAAGTTTGCTACTGATGTTTTACAATCTTGCATCTAAGCTGTTAACACCCATTATGATACACAGACAAGGAACTTCCCTTAAGCATTCAGGATGGTGGAACCCGGGAGGGAATTAGCATAGGGAGGATATCAAGGTCAAGGTCAGCAAGCAAAGCAACAGTTACCCAAAATGGGGGCCAGGGACCTACAGGTCCCCCTTTTACTAATAAATGAGTTTCTGACTTAGATTGCATGGGATATCAGCAGGTCACCTTACCCATCAAGGAATCCTTAAATCATCGTTAGAGTTTCGGGAAATTTTGCCTTGTCATTATGATTGGTGTAGGGTTAATAGTTAAGTGCGACAAGCATTTTAAAACACAAACTTTATTGAGGTCTATTCTATACATCATATAACTCATCTCTCTATACATCATACAATTCATCTCTCTACATCATAAAATTCATCTCTCTATACATCATACAATTCATGTCTCTACACATCATACAATTCATGTTGTCTTAGTATCTTTACAGAATAACAAAAACTGACTTTTGAATTTTTTTATTCTTTTCTCATATATTACATCCTGACTGCAATTCCCCCTCCCTCTGCTACCTCAGCCTCTCCGCAGTCCCCCAGATACACTCCACTCTGCCTCCCCTCAAAAAAGAGCAGGCCTCCTAGTGACTTTTGAATTTTAAATTAAATGAGAAAAAAATGAGACTTTTGAAGGAAGAGCATTACAAAGCTTTGCCATGTTCTTTCTCCTTCCCCCCAGAAATGTGTGCTCTACTGGCCAGAAAAGAGAGGGATTTATGGCAAGGTTGAGGTTCTGGTCATCAGTGTGAATGAATGTGATAACTACACCATTCGAAACCTCGTCTTAAAGGTAAGATGATGGAGCTGTTGCTGTCTTCAGAGTAGGTAAGGGTTACATTTCTGCTTTGAAATGACTTATCCTAAATACTAACAGATTCAACTTACACAAGCTAGAGAATACTGAGACCACAGACAAGCCATCATTAATCCTTCTTTGTTGCCTGATACTATTAAAATACGCAACAGTGAAATTAATGTAAGTAGATATAAGGCAGTTTGTTTTGCAGGAGGTTGGCATCATCTAACTTTCATTTGCAGAACATCTCTGACTTACCCTTGGGAAAGCCCTTAACTAAGGCTTAGGCAGGCGATCTTGCCGGGACTTTGATGCTAATGCCATTGTGGTGGAAGCAGCTTTGAGTGGGGCCTGAGAACTGTGGAAGAGAAAATCCACACTGATGCCTGGCTGTGGGAGGCACGAAGAGCTTGCAGTGCTGATGAGAACTTCAAAAACTTGTAGTTAACAGTCATTCACAGGGGCCTCCCTGGGCCAGCTTCCATCATAGAAATGGGGTCTTATTTAACTCATGGGGCAGCAGGTGCTAACGAGGGTTGCCATGGTATTATTTTCACTTTGAAAGAATAATCAACCTAAAGACCTCAGTCCTATCTATCAACAGCCTGCTGCTGGGATAGAATCATCATCGAGAGGAAAACCGTAAAGGCAGAGAGAGCTGCAGGGATGTTTTGTATTCAAAAGTGTGGCAGAGGGAGGCTCTGCCGAAACCTGTTTATAAACATATGCCTGAACAGAAACGGGCCTCCCACCTGAACTCTGGGTTTTGCGATGATGTGTGAGCCTTTGCTCAAAGTGTTTCCCCTCTAGGGATCCCACATAGCTCCTTTACTGCCAAGGGTCCCCACTGTTGTTAAATGCCAGCATTTGAGAGGAATATAGAACAATTCTTATCGAATATCAAACAAACGTTCTTCTGTTGGCTAATATGTTTATATACGCTCTGTCAAGGTTTAGATAACAGGAAACACAGCATATCCCTTTCTTTCTGTTATATTTTCACCTCTGAAGCAGGTGGCTCAGGCTTTTGATTCCACCACACAGAGGCAGGCAGACCTCTGTGAGTTTGAGGCCAACCTGGTCAACATAGCAAGTTCCAGGATAGCCAGGGCTATATAGTGAGACCCTGTCCCAAACAATAGCAACATTTTCAGCTACTAAAGCATAAATATATACGTAGTGTAGAGTAGATATGTGATCTATATGATGGGTCCAGACACAGGCCTCAATTCTTAGAGGGTGAGTACTCAACCTTCCCTGTCAAGCCAGGATATGCACAATAAAACTTTCTCAAGGTGAAAGGGTAGTTTTGAAAAGATTCTAGATTTTTTTTTTCCTTCCTAGAAGTTAGCTGGCAGCAAGAAGGGAGATGGGAAGTCACTTGGCGGTCGTGGTGTGGGTGCCTTTCGGTTCCAGAAGCGAATAAGTAATTTGGTGGCTGTTGCTATTTTCAGCAAGGAAGTCACACCCAACATGTGAAGCATTACTGGTACACTTCATGGCCTGACCACAAGACTCCAGACAGTGCCCAGCCCCTTCTACAGCTCATGCTGGATGTAGAAGAAGACAGACTTGCCTCTGAGGGCCGAGGGCCTGTGGTTGTCCACTGCAGGTAAGGCATGAACTGCTCCCCCGGCCAAAACGGCTATCTGCTCTTTAATCCGAGGACAGGTAGAAAGAGGGCTTAGCTTCCTGGATGTAACTTGGTAGGAAATGAAGTATTTATTAAAAATGGATTAACATCCGAATAGTTGAGCCTTCATCAAAACGATGCTGCCAGAAATTAATTAGATAGACCATTTGGGACATTCTTAGCATGCTGCACAGTACTAAAGGTTTGAGTGCTAAATAAATGGCTGGGTGGGCAAGAGGCCCTCCTCCATCATCAGACTCGAAACTCCTTTGGGTTCATTTTTGTCTCCTTAGTCACTTAACACACTAAGAACTGGAGAAGCCTTTCATTATTGATGGAGCTTTGTTGTCTTAAGATACTGTACGGATCGCGTCTTGCCAGTGCTTATTATTAATCTGCCTTCATAGTTAACTGTTTTCAGAGCTGTCTCATGAAAACCAGGTGGAAAGTAATTTATGAAGTTGGAAATGGGCAAGGGGTCGTTTATTTTACGGAACACAAGTGGACACCCAGGGCATGGAGGCCAGGGAGACAGCAGCAACAGTGGTCCAGGGGGTTCTTTTCCTCATGGCTAACTTGAAATTCACCTCCCTAAACTGACATTCCCCCCCCCACTTGACTTTTCATGTGGTCAAAGCAAGTCATACATTCATTTCTATGACGGGCCAGGTATTCCATATTTTTTTTCAAAATAATTGTTGTTGATTTATTTAACCTTCTAAGCATCCTAAGAAAACGTTTAATAAAATACATGATTTTAGATGTATTTTACTCTCCTTCTGTTTTGAAACTTGGTGAATTAATTAAAAAATTCTTATGCATCTATTTAGCAAAGGTGGCATTACCCAGTTTCCAGCATTAGATTTTCTCCTAAACCCTTGGAGCCAAAGTGGGGAAAGACTAGTTGGGCATAGTTTAGGACTGGAGACCCCACCCAAAACCAGCAAGCACTAAGGATATCTAAACTGAAAGAGGCACTCCCCCTATAAAATTAAGGCCCCTTCTAATTAGTACTTCTAAGAATGAGTCCTCCTTTGTTCCCTTCACGCTGCATCCAATGTTGACAGTTATCTTTGGCCCTTCTTTCAACTCTCCTCTCGGTATCTAATCAGTTACCAGATTGGCTTTCTCTTCAAAGCTTCCCCCACAATCACACTTCCTGTCCATCCACCCTAGTCCGGGCCCTTATGACCTCATCCATGTAGTTTAGAAGTAGTTGACTAATTGCACACACATACCCTTCTCCCTCGGGCCACTCTGGCCTAGCCCATGTGCTTCTCGGAGATGATGTTCCTGAAAATGTTTGTGTGACATCCAGTCCTTGTTCAAAACTGGTGGATGGGTTCACCACACCTGAAGCAAATGTGCCTAGCCTTGACTCTGCAGATAACACTACAGAGATAAGTGAATTACTTGGTATTATTTGAACAAGTTTGAATGCCTACGTGAGCTTCTTTCCGGAGCGTTCCCATCCAATTCTTTTAAATGTTCTTAAGTGTAGAGGATGCAGCGCACTTCTCAGCCTCTCGTGGAGGATCATAGTTTCCAAGCCTCGTTTGTTTCCTGCTTTTGTACTGAAAGAACGTTCTTTTCCATTTCAGCTAACCTACTGACTGTCCTAAGTCACATATTCTGTTCTGCATCTAATTCTTTCTTCACATTATTGTCGCACCTGGGATATATGTTCTCATTCATGATAGACAAAGTACCTGCCATTCCTAGGTTATGATAGAATTCCTATTTCTTCAAAGAAACAAAGTCTTTATGGACATTTCAGTTAAAGGGGACCCATTCCTTATAAATTTTTAGTTGCATTCAGCTAGAAAAATTAAATGTAAGAAATATGATTCATGAAAATAAAGACAGTAGCACATATGGTAAATAAAAAAAAAAGACAACAAAAGATGCAAAGTGAAATGTTTGTTCCATTAAGATTTTTCTAGGTCATGAGTACCAGGATGAGTAGGTTAGATGTTGTGTTGTAACCAATGAGAATCAGCAACAGTGTTTGAGTAAAGAATAATTATGTCCTTAGTTTGTAACAATGAACCTAGCAGCTATACCATGAACCAATCCAAGAAAAGACTTCAGAATTGGGAAGCATTATGATCCCCCACCCCCACCCCCGATCATGAAATGAGTACACACTGAGGATACAAATCCTCTACAGAAAGGAAAGCTCGGATCCCAAAGGCTCGGTTGAGCTACAAAATAGAAAAAAAAAATGGTGACAGATGGGATGTGGGAGGTGAGAAAGGTACAGATGTGAAAGATGGAGCCAAGATTCCTAGACTGGAAAGCTTTATAGCTGATGGGTAATACCATTGAGGGAGAGATAAATAGATGTATATATTGAAGTATATTGAACTTGTGAAAAATAGTAACATCAAGAGTTCCACCTTGGAAGAGAAGTTTGGGGACTTGAGATACAGAATTGAGAGAAATTTGCATAATGATGGTGATCAAAAATGGGGGGAGGGGCTAAAGTTGATTCTATAGACTTACTATATAAGGCAGGTAAATAGATAAGTTCTCTAAAACCCATGGTATTTCTATTAAGTGATCATCTCAATGTAAGTGACTTGGAAATATGTGCCTCCAGTCCCATCCTCTCTCCTAAATAGAAGTGAATCTTTGGTTATTCGCTAGACTCCAACATCTAACCGCATCTCCCGGTCAGCCCTCATCCCAGAATCCCCCTTGCCCCTGTGGCAATACCAGCCTTCTTGTCCTCTAGGCCTAACTCTCTTTTTTTTCTTTTCTTTTTAATTAATTTATTTTTACTTTATGTGCGTTGGTGTTTTACCATGGGTGTTTGGTCCCCTGGAACTGGAATTACAGACAGCTGTGAGCTGCCATGTGGGCACTGGGAATTGAACCTGGGTCCTCTAGAAGAGCAGTCAGTGCTCTTAACCACTGAGCCATCTCTCCAGCCCCACCTAACTCTCTTTGACATTTTGTTTTCCCACTGTTCACAGATAGACAATGTGATGTGTCTAAATATTTCCTTTCTTATCGACTGCCTATTCTTTCTAGAACAATTACAATATCTGCTCATCATCCTCCCAACCCCTCACCCCTTCCCACCTCACTCATTCTACTACTTGTAATTAAATGAAAGAATCTGTTCTAAGCACAGCACAGGCTAGATGTGGGATAGTCAGTACATGGCAGTTTTATTATTAGGACTATTACTATTAGTCCTCATACTTTCAGCGTTTAAAAGTATACTTTTAAAAGAATGCAGATTAACTTGTTTTTCCTTGTCTTCTCCTCTTTCCTTTCCTTTCCCATTCAGTGCAGGGATTGGGAGGACGGGGTGTTTCATCGCTACATCCATTGGCTGTCAACAGTTGAAAGAAGAGGGAGTCGTGGACGCACTAAGTATTGTCTGCCAGCTTCGTGTAGACAGGTACGTGGGCAGGGGTTGGCATCATAGAGACCTCAGTCCCGAGCAGCACTGTCCGTCACAGGCTCATCTAATCTACCTCACTTCATGAACATGACAGCTCTAAGGTCCTAGATCTCCATACTAAAGAACATGCAGTGCAGGGAGACAAGATGACCCAGTGTGTAAAGCATTCTGCCTTCACAAACATAAAGACCAGAGTTTGGATCCCCAGTAACCACAAAAAAGCCAGTGAGCATGAAAACCTGTGCATCATCCCAGAGAGCAGGAAGTAGAGGCAGAAAATCCCTAGAACAAGTTGGCCAGCTAGGCTAGCCAGAAAGTGAAATCCAGGTTCAGTGAGAGAATGGCTCACTGTGCAAGGGGAAGAGTGATTGAAGAAGACACCTAACATTGACCTCGTACTGCCATGTGCACAGACACACATGTGCATGCAGTGTGCCCACATATACATGCACATAGACTACAGACACAGACAGACACACACACACTATTACACACACTCACAAGCACACACAGGCAAAAAAAAGAGAGAAAAATATGCATTACATTAAAAAGATATTTAAGCAAGATGGTCTAGGCTATAGAGATCCTACCATGAGAGGAGTGGGGGGGGATGGTAGGAGAGAGGGGAGTGGGAAGGAGAGCGAAGGGGGAAGGAAGAAAGAGGGAAGAAACTGAAGATCCAGGAACATGGGAACACAAGTTGGAGGCCTGTCTGGGCTACAGAAGAACTTAACCACAAAACAACAACAAAAAGACATTGAAGAAACTGATTTGTAGCACCAACCATCAGAAGCCCAAATACCGAAGCTCATGGTTAATTCTTCCTCATCTTCAATATGTTTATAATGTCTTAAATCCAAACCCCTTCATGTATAATCTGCCATTCCTTTTGATTTAATTGAACCACTTAGTTTAGTATTTTGAATCTTTAACATGAACATATTTGCTATTCCCAAGAGTGCTTTTTAAAATCTGCTTTCAAAATGTGGTGAAATACACATGGCATCTTGAGCATTTTTGAGTGGAGATTACGTATTGAGTGCATTCATACTGTTATACAAACAGCGATCAGAATTGCCTTCACTTTACAAAACTCTGTGTCCATTAAAGAGTCCCTCTACCAACCCAGCACTTGGAAGCCATCATTCCGTCTTATACACTTGACTATTCTTGGTCCTCCTTATCGTCTTCTCCCTCCTCCTTCTTCAGCACATCCTCTTTATTCTTCTTTTCAGTTTTTTTGGCTTCATGTAGCACAGACTAGCCTCATTTTCTGTGTACCATGTACTACCACACTTGAATCTAGGAAGCATTCATTAGCAAAATCATGCTATAATTACCTTTTCGTGCCTGGCTTCATTTCATATAGCATGGTATCTTCAAGGTTTATCCGTGTTCTGACATGTGTCAGAACGCCCTGAATAATATTCCATTATACGTCTATAAGACACTATGTTTATCTATTCATCTGTTGATGAATGTGTGTATTGCTTCCATATTTTATCTGTTATGAATAATGATATTACAAACATGAGTATTTACATGTTTATTTTAGACTCGGTTTTCAATTCTTTGGGATATTACTGGATTAATTCCCAAGTAGTCCAAACAATTCTTGTTTTCTACAAGAATTCCTACAACTTTATTATCCTTTTTTTTTTAAAAAAAATACAGTAGCCATCCAAATGTGTCTAAGTGGGAAGGTTACCCTTATGATGATCAATGCTAAGTTTGAAAACAGAACAGAGAAGCAACTTCTTGCCCCACAGCTAAGCCTGAGCGGTGAATGGAGAGTTGGGTCAGTGATAGAGAACAAGAGTAGATACCCCTTAAAGAGTGCCTTGGAGGGAGGGTGAGCGGCAGGTCTCCAATGGATAAGGCAGCTCTACAGGGAGAAGGTGGAAACACAGGGCTCTCTCCTTTCATCCAAACAGCTAATACTTAGCAATCCGATACCCAGGGTTGGTCTAGCTATTCAACATGCAAATACAACCATACACCGATGAATGAAACTTCTTGCCCTTTGAGCAAGATTATATGAGTCGGAAGCAAGCGCTATGAAATGATACAACCAAGAAGGCATGGGAGCTGAGTTCCTTGGACTTCAGCCCTGTTACCTAGGGCTCCCTGAGAATAAAACTGTATAGTTATGGTTATTTAAGGTCTGTTCAGTGGTCAGGCACTGGGAGGCACACCTATAATCCCAGCACTTTGGAGGCTGAGGTAAGAAGATCACTGAGAATGTACTAGCCTAGACTAAATTATTGAGTACAAGGGCAGACAGAACTGCATATCAATACTCTATCTAAAATTTAAAACATACACACACACACACACACACACACACACACACACACACACACACACACACGCACATACAGAGAGAGAGAGATGTCTAATAAATATTTTTGAGCACCTACTATGTGCTGTGTTCTGAGATTTCAATAAAGGAAACAAAGAGATATTCCAGAAATGCAATAGGGGAGTGTGTATGTGTATGTGTGTTGGTGTGTGTCTGTGTGTGTGTGTCTGTGTATGTGTGCATGCACGCGCACCAGTGCACCATATATATGGCACTTGGAATAGTGTGTGGCACATAGAAGCCGCTGGGAAATGGCACTTGATTATTAGTATCTGAATTACTCTACATATCTGTCCTTCCTTTTATGTCTTGGTTTAGTAGACTGTCCATCATTGCAGTTCAGACTCTGGGCTCTAACACTGCATCTCTATCATCTTTCACTGCTTCTAATGTGTAGTCTTAATGGGCCCCTTGACTTCTCCATTTCTTAACTTTCTCATCTGGAAAATGGAATTAATAATCGTGTATACACTCCGTTATGACAGCAAAAACTGTAAATGTGAAGTTCCTGCACATATTAAGCCTTCAATCAAATTTAACCACAGTGATTATCAGTATAGGTGGTAAACACACTAAATCTTCCCCCGCAAGTGACACAGCCATAGATTCACCTCACAGGCTTGTAGGCTGCATTTAAGTGGGATGGCGCCTACATTTCTTATCCTGACTTCATCCTCTCTATTTCCTGATTTGCATATTCCAGATGCCACTACCTTTAAAAGTATTTTCATTGTGTACATAACTAAAAATCAATCGCAATATTCCCACTCTTCAATTCTAATTGCCATCTTGGACTTGAAAGATCCTTTTGCCTGCACCCAGTACAATACATAGTCTCAATGGGTGAAGGTGCTTGGGACCAAACTCAAGGACCTGAGTTGAATCCCCAGGACCTACATGATGGAATGAGAGAAGTGACTCCTACAAGTTGTCCTCTGCTCTCTACACAGGTGCCTTCGTGTGGCCCCCAACCAATACACATACACAAAACAAATACATGTAATTTGACACCAAAAATGTTTAAGAAGATCTGACTGGTTCTCCAGATTTGGAGACCTATTTTCACCTCTTGGGTCCTAACACAGAGGTTAAGGGGGAGGAGCCTGGTGAGCCCAGAACTCCTGCTATGTTGACTTTAATCTCTACTATTGCACATAAGCCCCAGTATGGGACCCCAAGTCCCCGAGGCTCTCTGACCCATAGCTCCAAGTCAAATGCTGCTTTCCCTCTCCAGTTCCAGCATTCCATGAACACCAGCCAAAAGTGCAGGAAGGGAGACTGACTCTAAGACAAGGTGGCCCCCAGCAGCACCCGCCCTGACACCATTTCAGACACTACACTGAGTAAGGCCCTCGGCCTGTGCGTGGCTGTGACTCCCCTCACTGTTGATCTCACCCCCCCCCATCTCCCACCTCCCCAACTCACTTTGTAGCCTGACCTCTGCCTTGGTCTCCACTTCCCTGTCGGTTCCCCTGCCGACTCCCCTGAATTGTTCTCTAGTTTTGAAAGGAATCACAATACATTTTTTTAAATCTATCAAAATGCCTCCTCTATCTCCTCTTTCCTTCCTACAGCAAGTGGCCAGAAATTTTGGCCTTGGCCTTCTATCAGCACCAAGGTCTTCCCACGGGGCTGGACATTTTTATTCTTGATAGACTCTGTAAAACATATCCGAAGTCCCTGCTGATCTGAAGTTTGTCCTTGGATTTGAGTTGCTGCCAATATGTGTGTCAAGTATATTTAGCTGATTTCCTAAGACCCCTGCATGTAAGTTCACTCTTGGGGCTGCTCATTTGGAAACAGACACTGTCCCTAACGTTTTCCTTGAGAGGTTGTTTTCCCCTAGCCTGCCTCCCGTTACGTGTCCCTTCCTTTAGTTGCCCAGCCCCCTAGGAGTTATGAAAAGCATAACAGAAATCCTTCCTCCTCTTTTCACCTCCTCATCCTTCTACTTCTCCCCCATCTTTCCCCTCTTGCTCTAACGGTTCAGCGTTTTCCTGATAGAGCTTCCCTTTAAGAAATTCCACCCGCTAGCTGATAGCTGTGAATGGCCATGCCTTTGCCACTGAAAGGAAAGCTAAGCCAGACCCTTTGGCACACACCCAACAGTTCAGAGGCTGAGGCAGGAGGATTTCGAGTTTGAGGTTAGCCTTGATGTGTCAGTGAGACCATGTCTCACAAAAGGGGAGGAGAGAAAGGGAAAGGAAGGAAGAAAGAAAGAAAGAAAGAAAGAAAGAAAGAAAGAAAGAAAGAAAGAAAGAAAGAAAGAAAGAAAGGAAAAAAGAAAAGAAGGAAGGAAGGAAGAAAGGAAGAAAAGAAAGAAAGAAAGAAAGAAAGAAAGAAAGAAAGAAAGAAAGAAAGAAAGAAAGAAAACAAGAAAAATATAGTCTTAAAAAAATCCAGACAGCCGGGCGGTGGTGGCGCACGCCTTTAATCCCAGCACTCGGGAGGCAGAGCCAGGCGGATCTCTGTGAGTTCAAGGCCAGCCTGGGCTACCAAGTGAGTCCCAGGAAAGGCGCAAAGCTACACAGAGAAACCCTGTCTCGAAAAACCAAAAAAAAAAAAAAAAAAAAAAAATCCAGAGCCGGGCGGTGGTGGCGCACGCCTTTAATCCCAGCACTCGGGAGGCAGAGGC